ATAGTAACACCAAGATGAGGAAAACCCCTGTCTGTATCAAAGTATTAACTTTAATGCTTTTTTTTCTTTTTTTAGCAAGTAGAATATTGCATTTTACTGGTTCTACTGGTGCATACAGTGGTTTGTTACTAGTAACCATGCAGAATCAGGTAGATATGGTGTATTGCAGTAAGTGTACCACATATACTATGAATGTAGGTGTATATAAGCATAGCTGTTGTATAGCGTGTATTTACACAATTTAATAATATTAATGACTGACATGTTTATATTTAAGTAGTTTGTGGCAATTTGGCTAAACACAGATTTATCCAGGTATATGTTGTGTATAAACACTGTATTTTAAACCACTGTTGGAAAAACTCATTTCATGATGTGCACTGGTGAAGGTTTAGTTATGGAAAGATCATTAGTTTGGTTTCTCAAGCTTAAATAAACTGAAATGACTGATCCTTCTCCTTATCACAGAAGATACAGATAAAAATAAAACAACTCACTGGTTAAATAACAGAGCCAGAACTGAGGAAGGTACTGTATTCCTCATATTCTGGTGACTCACTAGCATCACTGCCACACTTCACATTCACACATTTATTGCACATACAGTACACACATATATGTGTTTTCGCAACACACCTACACACACAAACACACACAGGGTATTTTTGAACACTGTGTCATTGGGTAGCCTGTTATACAATATGCGTCTCAGGTACAGCCAGGCTTACTCTGACCTGTTTTGTGTCTCAGTGGGAAGGTGGGAAGAGATGCGCCTCTCAAACCGGCACGACTCACTAATGTCTTTACAGAGAGAGAAAGAGAAAATGAAAGCTGAAGGTTAAAAGTTATCCTCTCTGCCACTGGCCATTTCTATTGAATTATACTGACAAGATACTAGAACAAACACTGAGGGGGCGTTGTGAGGAGAGATGCATTTGATATGAAAATGTCATTTTGAAGTGTTGGTCTTTGAAGAGATTTTGAATTAAATAACAAACAGTATTGTGTTGATGTGATGATGCCGACATGTTAAGAGACTTATGTATATTATTACTGGTGTACAGTATTTACTAAACCAGTTTTAATTACAGTGTTGTTTATTTTGCATATTTACTACCACACCAGTCTATTGTTCAAGCTGGTCATTAGTTTATGTATATACATATATACACTTCACAAGTTAAATATGCAGGGTAGCAATGAGAAAGTCATACTATCATAACTGGAATAATGTGTGAACACAAACATTTGATAGGAAAGGTTGTTAGCTTATGCACAGAGCCACAAAGTGATGCTGTAAAACAATGTAAACAGTCAAAATAATTAACTGTGCCTTTAGAGAAGATGTCTGCCGGTTGGTTCAGCCATGTGAAGAAAAAATCTCTAAAAATATTGAATGAATCGCCATGAAATTTTGAGGATAATTTCTTTGGGTGATTCCCTGTTTATCCCTCTAAGTTTTCTTTTTTCCTGTTTTTTGAGGAAATTACATATGTGTTTGCACTTACAGGACAATTTACTGTACAGTTATAGTATAATTCCTGTGTTTTTGAAGTTTCACTCTGCTGGTTGTTTGTTTTTACCTTAGCGTACTTTACCTTGCAGTCTACAAATAGTTAAGAGCAAAGAGTCTTATAAAATCTCTAATAACTGATTTTTTTTTTGACATCACTGGCTGTTTTCTGAGGGACACTGGAAAAATAATGAGTCGTGTTTTTGCTCTGAGATGAGCGTGGCAAGTCTCAGTTTAGCTACTGTGACTCATTGTCACTTACTATAAATGTTACATGATCTTCATTTTGAATTTATCTCTGGCCACGGTGTCGTATATTTCTGGGCTTAAAAAAAATGTATGAAAGCACTGTTAGGTAAAACTGTTACGTCCATTGATGGCTATGCCTGCGTGTGTCCTTGGCCTCTGGTTTTCTTTGTTAAACCTCTGTGAAGAGATACAGTAAAGTAAAAAAAATACACAGTGTCTCTACATAAAGAGGACAGGCTCCTCAGAGGGTGAGTCATGTCTACTGATGGGGTTGTTTGGCTCTGGGTTTGTTCTCATTATTATCCTGCTTCTTTTCTTCACGCCTTGACAGAAACACTCACCAGGCTTGCTCACTAATCTATTGTGTAGTTACAGTTTTCATGGAAGATCTATACTAAACTACTTTTTAATTAGTTTGCTCAGACCACTCTGTAGACTAGTTGAAATTAAGAACACAGAGGGGAAAATTTACCAGAGAAAAAAATGGCATAGTAGCAAGTTGTGCTTAAATACAGATAAACAGATGTAACAGTTTTATTAGTGTCAGCATTCATGTCATTTTGAATCTTTTAGCATTTAGTATTTAGAGAACGAACTCAGCCACCCAGAGAACTGGAGATCAGACTTAAAAGCAGATTAGTGTGCATCCAGCTAGTTTGTGACTAAGTCTGTGTTTCATACTTCACTAAATGGTTCTGTGAGTCATTTATTGGTTGCAATGCTTTTGCCATTTAATACTGGCCCCCAGTAATGAATCTGTCAGTGATTCCACTATTTATTATTGATTATAAGGCTGGTGTAAGCCCATAATTGCAGTTTCACCAAATACCTCACAAATTTCCTGCTAAGTAAAAGACAAAATGCATTTTTAATACCACTTTTCAAGGTAAAACTACATAGAATGTTAGGTGCACTAATGCAGACTAATACAGCAGCCAGGTATTAGTTTTTTTGGTGTATCTTTACAAACTGAGTATAATACTTAAAAAAAACCCTGAAATGCAATTATCTGTGTAAAATGCCATCATTTTCAAATCATCCTTCTCAGTTTAAAAAAAGTGCAATTCTTCTCTAACTGAAACTATTAAGAGACAGATGAACAAACCTCCACTTTTAGTGCCTAATTGCTGCCTTTTAAATCAGATGGCAATCAGCTTATTAAAACATTGCTCTACTGGACCACTAGCAATCAAAACCTCCACTGGGAGCCTTTAAAAGAGAGGGTTTTATTCAGTGGTCATTATGGTGGTAGAGTGTCAATATTGTATCAATAACGCTGCAAAGTTTGGCTTCATAATAATGTTTAAACACATTAGCTATAAGATGCAATAGCAACCAGAATCTCTCTGGCTGATTCCCTCTTCTCTCCTTTTTCTTCCTTT